TGCAGCGCCGCGTCGTCGAGGGCGAACTTCATCGGGAAATTCCAGGTGGGGTTGGACCCGCCGTGGCGGTCGGGCGGCGACTTGGTCTGCTGCTTGGCGGATTTGTCGCCGCCGGAGATGGAAACGAGGGCGTAGACTTCCATCTTGGAGATGAGGTTGACGTTGCTCAGATCCCTGGCGTACTGAAGGGTGACGTCCAGATTTCGATTCTCCATCATCACTCCTGTTTGGTTTGAAATTAGGTATTTGGTAGAAAGGGAGAAAAATTGGGGAGAACAGATTACAATTGAGAAAGGAGTTACGGAGACTTGTGGAGACCGGCGCACATATATATATATAAAAAAACTTTTGCCGTATCGTGTTAACAAAATACTGAGTCAATGTTGACACGTTTAAGGAAATTGCTCGGCGGCTTTCTTGCAGGTAGTTTATTATATACGGTTGTGTTAGGTAATTATTCCGTTAAAGTTTATAACCGTTAAATCAATTATTAATTGACGGTAGCATTTTCTTATATTATATTATATATCATTCAATGGTTAAGGGCTCCATCTTCTAGAAAATTGCAAAATTACTCCCTTCATTTGCCCCCATTTAAAATTAAGTCCTGGCCCTAGGCCCCAACCAACTACAATTTATAGTATTATATTATTGGGAAATTCTACAGTTCCGTTACGGAACCATTCTGTTGGGGTTTGTAACCATTAAATCATCATGTAATCGTCGGGATAGTTGATCTAACAGTTACAAACCCCGACGGAATGGTTCCGTAACGAGACTGTAGCATTTCTCTATATTATTATGACATGTCTTTTATACACTATATAAAAGTTGACTACTCTAGAAAATGTGGGATGACCATTTCTTCCCCCACATACCCGTCTCCCTTTCATTGTCCTCATTTTTTATTTAATTTAAATTTCTTAAATGCCTACGACCCATCATCCTTCTACTATTTACACTAGTGGGAAAATATGCCCGTTGGTGATAATGGAGAGTTATCAAACTATTTCAACATAAATTCTATAGAGCGATGAGATGGTTTTTTATGGAGTCATCCATCACTTAATGTATTGACACATGTTCAAAGAATATTTATTGTGAGACGCGTGTCAATACACTATTTTTGAATAATTGTGAATAACTCTAATATGACACATATATTAGCCAGGGTCAACGTGTGATTGACCTACTTATAAAAGACCTACATATGATGGACTTAGTCAACATGTGATGGACCTACTTGAGATGAACCTATATGTGGTGGAACTATTTGAGATGGACCTACATAATATGGATCTATTTATGGATTTATTGGGGGTGAACCTACCCTCGATGGACCTACTTGTGATGGACCTAGAGGTGGATCTTGTGATGGACCTTAGGGCGGATCTATTGATGGTAGACCTAAGGGGACAACAGAGATACCTCTTAGGACGTAGGATATTTAAGGATTAAATATGAATGAAGGAGCAAAACGAACCTTTGAAAGAGGCCTATATAAGCCTGTGTCCCCAGGGACTAGTGTAAAGAAGGTGTAAATATTCTGGGCATATGAAAATAATCATCGGGTAGTCGGGCAGGATGAGACTTGCCCGACAAGCTTTATATTTCTTTATAACATGTATAAACAAGCAAGGTAATATTTCACAACCGATATACATTATCATAAGCTTTACACACTTTCATTACCATCTTTCTAAAGCCTTTACTGACTTGAGCGTCGGAGGTTTTACACCGGGATCACTTCCCGGCGTCTTTGCAGGTCACCAAGGCGTACCACGACGATAGAACGAGAGGTGGATCAAGTTCGGGTGCGAAGAGCTTATCAGACTCTATAAGTCGTGTCATCTGATGGCTACATAGCAAAACTGACTATTTTAAACACTAACAGTGGATCAAATAATAATTGTTCTTTTACATATGTTTGTTTGTGAGGCTGTGTATAGATAAATCATTAATCCTAATTAGTTCATTCTTCCAATGTCCTTAGAGAAATTTTTCCATTCAACTTCCTAGTCAACAAGTACATGGTCTCCTCTAGGGTTGAAATTGCCTATTTTCTAAAGAAAAAGTGCATGTTTTCATTCACTATAGTACTTGTTTCTTTCAAATATTACTTAAGTTAAACATTTTCATGTAGTATTTGATGCCTTTCTATCTAATACCTGAAATTATTCCAAGGGTATCATCGTATAAAATGGTATCACAGCCCAGATTTTATTATGAACTCTTAGATGAATTTATTATATGGTAGTGAACTTTAAAATGGAGAAAATTTTAAGAACGGGTAATGAAAAACTGTCCAAAGTGTGTGCATTATAATAGAAATCTTCAAATTTTGAAGATGTGCAAACAGAAACACCATCAAATTCTGCCCATTGGGATGATCGTTATGTTGAACAAGTATCATATGGATGCCTTCTGGGTAAACCAACTGATACAAACTAATTTACTAAATCATCAAGAAAGAGATCATATGAATCATATTGAAGATCGAGTCATAATAATTTATTAGGCTGGAAAAAAATTATTACATACTCTTTAAGTACTCCTCAGATATCTGTGAAGCTCAAAGAACAGTGCAAAGTTACGGAGAACTCCAACATATGGTTCCTGAAAAAATCCACCAGATACAACCAAAGATGGAAAAAATCATGAAGAACCAAAAGGAGACTCTGGTTATCCTTATAAGTATCCAGAAACAAATTAGGGCGTTGGACGACAGACCCAGTACTTCTGGAGGAAGAAGAAAAGTAACTTTTCCAACAATAGTCATTTTACACCAAAGGGTAAACCAACTGAAGTTCGAAGGCCAATGACAGAAGACGAAAGTATGAGAGCCATCTTGAAAGGAAAATCCATTAATAAATAATGGAAAGAGTTAATTTGAAAGATCTACATGACCTTGCAAAATCCTTTGCGGATTGGGTCCAGTAGACGTAAAAATAAATATGGGAGATGGTTCAACGATAATAACTAGAACCCACTCTTACCAAGGAGGAGAAAGCTCAGGTTTTCTCCAACCTGAGGGGCATCTGAGAAAGCTCAAGTTTTCACCAACCTGGAAACAGATGCCCCCGTCAAGGGGATTTTCATGTAAGAGGAGAAAGCAGGCCTACGGTGGGTACCCGAATGTGTTCCTGAAGGCCAAACCTTCAAAATACTCATTATGGGAAATCACAACTAGATCCAATTCTTCTTTATGCAATAAATTCTGAATCTGGACACTTTTGATTTTAAAAATAGTGAGATCCTTGTCGACGATTGGGCCTCCACCATGAGAATTGTCGGAGGAACATTGAATCTCAACAAAGAAGGGTTCATTTCACTTCTCAAAATGAGCTTAGACAGTTAATTAAAATTGCATGGGATATGGCTTCTCCAGAGGTAAAAGAAGATGTTATAGATGGAGAATCATTAAAGGGAATGGTCGATATTTTTGCTAAAGTAGTCAAAAAATTATTTATCGGCATGGGATACTTTGAATAAGTAAAGAAACAAAAACAAAGAATATACAAGCAAGCTCTCTATTGCTTGGAGTTACATGATATTTGTCATGTAGATGAATATATAGAACTATTTACAGAGTATCGATGGAGTCTAAGGTAGCGGACTCCGAAGATTCGCAATGATTCTTTGCAAAGTACCCAACTCATGGAGAGAAAATGTTAATCAAATAATATAAAATGGATGAAGAGTATACAGTGGCTAGAAGAATGTCATTCTTTAAGGCAAAACTGTCTGAATGGTGTCATCAAACGACACTACACAAAAATTACAAAAGAGTCAACAAAACATTTCCTCTGTGTTGTGAAGAAAATGACATTCCAACAATTGTTGGAGGTCAACCACAGAGAAATAAAAGAAGAAGCCATATCAGGATTGCTTATTCCTGTAGATATAAGTGTTGGGTTCTATTAGAGACGTCATCAAAATGTACAACTGGATCTAACAAATTAAATCCTATTTCAGTGGAATCTATAGTTAGGATTAAGACATTAACGTTTAAAATTTTGTCGACTCAAAGACGTTGTAGATTTCCACCATAGGAGATCGTCTAAACCGCAGAGTCTGTTGGGCAGTCGGAATAGGCCTTCTAGATTGATCACGGGTCACCGAGATGTGGTCGGGTCGCGATCGTGTCACCAGGAGTCGTTACGCGTTGGGCGTCGTCCGGTCGCATGCAAGTCGCGTGTTGCAGCCGCTGGCGTCAGGCACTGAAGGCAGCAGCCATGTGCGTCGTGCAGCTTTGCATGTCTAGTGCATAGGGGATCACAAACTACTCTGCATGTCGGGCGCTGGGCATTATCGTGTGAGAAGTGCGTCTGAGAATGTCGGGCCATGCGCGTCAAGGCTCCTAAAAGCTTCAAAGTCGTGGCACGCGAGGATCTCAGACCTGGGCATTACACGACGAGGTTGTGGCGTCGCTGGGCTGCTCGAACATGGACTGCTTGTATGGGCTTGCCTTTTATTTTGAGGTATTTCTTGGTTATTTTTTCGTTCCAAGTGCATGCAGGTCATATTCTGTTCATTGGGTGTGACGGCTTAAGGCCGAGCTCTTATGAGTTCAGGTGATGTTCACTCGGTGTGACGGCTTAAGCTCGAGCTCTTATGAGCTCGAGTTTTGTTCATTAGGTGTGACGGATTAAGGCCAAGCTCTTATGAGCTCGGATGTTGTTCATTGGATGTGACGGTTTAAGGTCTAGCTTTTATGAGCTCGCATTTTGTTCATTGGTATGATGGCTTAAGGCCAAGCTCTTATGAGCTCGGGCGATGTTCATGGTAAGTGACAGCTTAAGGTCGAGCTCTTGTGAGCTCGGGTGTTGTTCATTGGGTGTGACGGCCTAAGGTCGAGATCTTATAAGCTCTGGTGTTGTTCATTGGTGTGATGGCTTAAGGCTGAGCTCTTATGAACTTGGGTGCAGTTTATGGGGTGTGACGACTTGAAGGTCAAGCTCTTATGAGCTCATGTGTTGTTCATTGGTGTGACTGTTTAAGGCTAAGCTCTTATGACCTTGGGTGTTGTCCATTGGGTGTGACGGCTTAAGGAGCTATTATGAACTCGGGTGTTGTTCATTGGTGTGATAGCTTAAGGCCAAGCTCTTATAAGCTTGGGTGATGTACATTGGGGTGACAACTTAAAGCTGAGCTCCTACGAGCTCGAGTGTCGTTCGTTGGGTGTGATGGCTTAACACCAAGCACTTAGGAACAATAACGAAAATATAAGATTGGTGTTTGCAAGTATATACATAGGTGGTGGTGTATCAAATAAACAACGATCAAGTTAAATATGAGCTATTCAGACTTGGTATGTACAAATTATATAAAAAAGATAACGAAAGCATATGTTTGAATGGGGAAAACCACAATGAATATATAAAATTGAGAAGTATAGCAGAGTGATTGTACAATTAATGGAAAGAAGAATAGTACAGACATTGTTACAAGATAGACCTAAATTTTTTTAAAACAAGTACATAATACAAATACAACATTTATTTCGGGGAAACGTGTCCAGGGGGCAACTCGCTCATTCGCATCCTCCTCTGCAATAGCAGGATTACCATCGCCCTCCTCTGAAGGGTTGCCTTCGCCCTCCTTGGCATCATCATCATTGTCATTTAGCTCGAGTTTTCTGCAGGGTAGCTGAAAGTACGGGCTCGACCAAAGGTAAGCCAGGGGCATCTCGGGGTTCCTCAACCAACCGTCAAGATCGGGCAAGTTGGACTTTAAGGAAGCCTCATCGAATTGGTCCATGTTTCTACTAGCTCGAGCCTGCTCAAGGGCACGCGATGTACCTAACAACAGATATTATCGGGTGGAAGGGACTGGCCTCGAGAAGGGAATAAGATCATGATAGATTTCGAGAAATCAGGCTCTGGAAGGGGAGTTCAGGAAGCTCTCTCGAGTTTAATTTCGAGTTGCTTTCTCTTCGGCAGTAGCCTCTTGAGCAAGCACTCCGAGCTAGGCTCGGTGATTGTCAGTTTGCTTCTGGAGCAGAGCAACTTGAGACGCCTGGAGGGTCTCGAGGGACTTGTAAGACTCGGTTTTACAAGTTTTTCAGCTTTGGCAAATTTTAGCTTAGGACTGGAGCACCTCTGTGCCTTCCTCAGCTTGTGGTGCTCGACTGTCGAAGGAGCTTCACCCTCAATGACCTCATGGAGCATACTGGCATGGACAAAATTGAGTTGTAGTTAAGACAGAAACAACTCATGAAATGAATATAGGAAACTCAATATACATTAAAAAAAATAGCAAACAAGAAAAAAAAAAAATTGGGGGAATTTATAAGTACGTCGAGAAGGTATCACATGTAGAATTTTTCTTGCAGCGTGTTGTCGCGACCCCCAACGACATGTCCTCGTTACCAATAAATATGGAGAGTGGGTAAGAGGATTGGACGGAAGGATCCTTGTGGAGGGCAAATGACGCAGGTTGTTGGATCGTGCTGCAAGGTGGTTCAGAAACCGAGGTCTTCTGAGTTGACGAGTTGCCGAATTTGGGAGTTTTTCTTTTTTTGGGAGCTTGACATGATGTTTTCAGCAGCTTGCTGTTAGATCTAGTAGCCTGTGAAGGGGGCTTGCTCGGGTGACCTGCAACAGAGGAGCTCGGAAGGGCAACAGAACCCTTCTTCTTCTTTTGGTGCGACGAGCTAGTGGAGACAGCCCTGACATGAATTTATATGAGAAAAATGATTAACATTTAATTTACTTTTTGGGTGATAGGACTCAAAAAAGGCCGAACATACATAATACAAAGGTCGTTAAATGATATACCTAAATCGAAAGGGAGACATGCTTAAAAGTCAAGCCATAATAGTAGGAACGGTGCTCGGTAGGAGAAGTAAGTTTCTCTATGTGGTAGGGGACCTTGTTCCAGTCGGCAATCAGCTCATCATAACGAGCTATGTCTTTTGGCTTTAATTTTTTACCTGGGGCCTCCTCGAGCCACTCCGAGCTGAAATCGAAGGTGCCTACAGGGGACTTTAGGAAAAAGAACCGGGATTTCCAATTCTTGATTTTTGTAGATAGGTTTTTGAGGTATTCAGCTCGGCTACGGGCACTGAGATAAAACGAACCCCTCTGTTTCTTGAGGGCGCAACAGTAAAAGAAAAATTGAGTGTTTAAGGTTTGAAATGATGGCGACTGAGAATAGTACAAGCTATTAATATACGAATAGAATTAAGACTAAGTTTATTGATCGAAAACTGAAATAACTCAGCTTGTAAATCCGATCGGATGGAAAAAAGAAAACCACTGTCAGCTTGGTCGACAAAAAAGGTATAGAAGCTAGGAGGAGGTCGATTATGTGAGCTGCCTAAGGAAGAAGCTTGGAAAAGCCAGTCAGGGGGATGCTTGCACATCCTCATAAAATCCTAGGTTCTTCGACGAAGAAAAAAGGGTTAGTTGGGGTCAGAACTACAGCGTCATAAGCTTCAGTATAACGAGCTTCATAGTCTGGTCGGCATCTATGGTTACACGAGATTGACGAACACGGAGCTCGGATTGGGAAAGGGGCATAGCTTTAGGGGGATCTTGGGCATGCCGTCAAAGGGGGTAGTATCTACAATTTAGGTAAAGAAGTCCCACGAAATGTCTCCATTGGCTTCATCAATCAATTGTAGGGTTCATCTCAGGGGTTGGGGCCTAATAGGAGTAGGAATTATAGCTAAGGGTTTCTCGGAGAGGAGCCTAACCTAGGTTGAGATAGGTCGGATGGCGATGAAATGGATATATGGGTAGGAGAGCTAGATGGGGTAGCTAAAAAAAAAGAAGAAGAATAAGAATATAGAGTGAATTGGGGAAGACGAGTAGCCGGAAAAAGAAAGTTGCCCGAAAATAAAAATAAACAAGTAAGAATAAAGAAGGATAATAAAGCGGAGGTAAGAGCATTCACAAATGAAGAGTAGCCGGAGGAAAAGTAGACGAGCGCCGGAGAGAAACAAAGATCGTCGGTAATTGCAGGAGAGTGTATAGGGGCGCAGTGGTGTGTGTGTGGGGGGAGGGGGATCAGGTTGGCGGTTTTCCAGTCGCGGGGTCGGGGTCGACTGTCTGGGCGGATTTGGCAGTTCCTGGAGTGCTTCTCGGGGCGTGGTTCTGTCCAATAGGGGCAATCGACCGGGGTGCTGCTGTCAGATGCACTTAGGTGTTAGCCAGTTGTGGGAAAGATCATCTCTAGTTTTTTTGTATATTTTTGTGCGCTCGTGGGTTGTGTTGCGTAGTAGGTGTTTATCTTTTTGTGTTGTATGCTTTCTCCTTTTGGAAGCGTGTTTTCTCCTGTTGGGAGCGTGTTGTTTGGAGTGTGTTATTTTTCTATTGGGAGCTGTATAGTTTGTTGCGCTGCGAGTGAGTTAGTTAGTGTAGTCGCTTCTAGGCGACCTCTTAGATTTAGTTGTTTGGATACTTACCGGGGCGGATTTAAATGTGGGCGAGCCTAGGCAATTGCCTAGGCTCAATTTTTTGTGCTAACTATACATAGTTTATATGTGTTAATAAAATTTTTATATTTAATATGTGTATATATATAAATAGAAGTTTTTATTTTAAAATTTTTAAATATTCTTCCAAAATAAAATTAATTTTTTTATTTAAAATGGTATACCTCATCGGTCAGATTCGACGATATTATAACACTTATACACTATAATAAACTTGATTGATAAATTTATTGTTTTCTTAATTATAATTGATAAATATGTAAATTTTTAATTATTTTAATTTGTATATACAATATGAATGTCAAAAATTTTGCCCTAGCTCATAAAATTTTCTGGATCTGCCGCTGGATACTTAACGATTCTAGTTGTTTTCTAGTTATAATTACATAGTTTTAGTTTTTATAAAATTTATGTAAAAAAAAAATGTATATATTCACCAAAAATTTACGGGTCTAAATCTTCGTAGCTTGGTAACCGACGTAGTGGCTAGTTCGAGCACAAAAAGGCTGGGCCTTTTGTAGCTGCGCCTTTATTTCATTCGTAATTGTTATCTATTCATATTCATCATCCGATCGATCGGTCAAAGAAAGAATAAAACCACGAAAATCTCTTCCCTTCATTTTCCCATTTGGACAACACAGCCTCCATCACGGTGCAAAAACATTGTTCCTTTTGTAGACCTGTTTAATTCAATAGAGGGCACTTTATTGACTCCACTGAAAAAAATATACAATTCTCAATGTTTATCCTTCCTCTCCTCTGTTCTTCGCAGGTTCCTTTCAATTTGCTTCTACCCAGCAGTTTATATTCATTATTTCCCTTTCAGAACACCGTTCTTCCCATCAAATCCCTATTTTTTATTTTAAAAAATTTAAAGTTTGCAATTTTTTACAAGTATAAAGGGTTTTCTTGATTTTTGGGGTGGGGGGGAATATGGGGTGTGAAAAGATGAGGGCTTTAATTTTTGTTAACTTATGGTGCATTTTTTTTTTTTAATTTTTTTTTTTTGCAGGCTTTTGGAGTGCGCTAATTGAAGGAGAGGGGAGGGGGGGGATGGAAGAACCAGGGCAGATCAAAAGGGCTTTCATTGACGCCTCGGCCGGTGCGATTTCTGGTGCTGTTTCAAGAACTGTTACATCGCCCCTTGATGTCATTAAAATCAGATTTCAGGTTAGATAATGTTGGAAAAAAAAGTTGTAATGAAAGCATGTTTTTGTTGAATGTCAGTGTTGTTTTGTGCGAATACCTTGTATTTGGGTGCTCAAATTATGCTCTTGGTGTTATGTTTTGGCTTGGTGGTTTTGTTTTGTTCTTGCTGTATTAGTCTAAGTTTCAGTTTATGCACATATTCTTTGAGTATTGCGGTTACAGGAGGGAGTAATCTGTAAGTACTTCAAAAAGTGATAAGTGATTGTCTGTTTTTGGCTTAGAGAAAAGACGGAACTTTTATGTTTTCAAACGATAGCTTCCACTTCTACTTCTGCATATTTCGATCGGAATTTTAGGAGGGCAAGTGTTTTAGATTCATGATTCTGCTTTTGGTTCTAACTTTTACACGAAGATAACCAATTTACCACTCAATTCGCTGCACTTGAGAGCAAATTAGTTTAATTTTTATCTACGTCTTTGATTTTCAACTTTCTTTCTCTGCTACAATGTTTCACATCTTTTAGTAGCATCAATTCCACCCCACCTCAAATACGCATAACTAATAGTGCAGTAATATTGTAGGTTCAATTGGAACCCACAACACAATGGGCGTTGTTAAGAAGAGATGTGTATTGTCCATCAAAATATACAAGCATGCTGCAAGCATCCAAGGACATACTTAGGGAGGAAGGCTTACCGGTAATGGTTATTAATTAATCTAATGTTATTGTGTTTTTTGCTTGATCATTGGGGTGAACATGAATTAGCCTTCTCAAGTTAAGAAAAACTATGTACTAGACATTTTTCTCTTAAAAGTTTGTTCCTTATGTCTGTACTGAGGAGTCCCATGTATGACTAAACTTATTGAGTTTCAATCCTAATATGTAGTCATGGTCGACATATTTTGTCAATTTGCTAGTTGAGGTTTAGTTATGTACTTTTGTTTCTCTAAAATAGAAGTACATGTTTCAATGTATGCCTTTGTTCCAATGTTGGGTAGGTATCAGTGCCTTCTAGCATAATTATGCAGTTAGCATTTTTTAAGTTTGTTGTTGGTAAGTGCTATTGGGGCATTACGAAAAAAATATCCTTTTGCATGGAATTATAAAAGTTCATGACTCAAACACCAATGTAACGATTAAAGAACATGTACAGGATTCAAAGTTCAAACAGATAAATCTGATGAAGCTCAGCACCTTAATAGCTATGTTTTCTCTAACTGTAAATATCTCAAATTTCATTTAGTTCTCGTTTCCTTTAAACTTTTTTTTTTTTTCTTTTTTTCTTTTTTTGGTTTGGGACAGGGATTTTGGAGGGGCAATGTCCCAGCCCTTCTTATGGTCATGCCATACACCGCAATACAGTTTACAGTGTTGCACAAACTGAAGACATTAGTTTCTGGTTCTTCCAAGTCAGGTTTGCAATAGAATGTTTTCTGTCCACAATCACAACGTGTTCATGTATATTGATCTGTGATACCTAGTAAATTATATTTCTCTGTTCCTGTTGACGAATAATGTTGGAACACTATGCATTTGCTTTGAACGTTCATGTGCCTTTGATTTCCCATCGCCTGAGTCCTCACTGACAAAATGTGTGTGTCATATGACCATACACATGTTTTATGTCTTTTCATTTGTTTGTTCGGGGGACTTACTTAGCACCTCCCTATACTGCACTGAAGAAGGTTTCTTTTATTTCTCGTAGACTCTTACAAGTTTTCAGTTCTTGATATATCTAGACACTTAATTTTGCTTTCTCTAGTGAACTGCTGCGATTTGTGTGTTTGGAGATAAATTAGGTTCTCTTACAAATGTGGATTGCATATGTGTGCTCAAATTTTGAAATTCCGTGTATCCTTGTTTTGCCATTTGCAGAAGACCATATCAATTTAAGTCCGTACCTTTCATATATTAGTGGGGCACTAGCTGGATGTGCTGCCACCATTGGATCATATCCTTTTGATCTTTTAAGAACAATTTTAGCTTCACAAGGGGAGCCAAAGGTACCTTTTGCATTGTTCTGGCAACTGTTTGTCATTCATATATGTTTTGAACTAATATCATTTAACACTCGCTGATATCCAAAAAACTAAAAAGATGAATTTCTTAGATCCATCTGAAACTGTAAAATGTAAAGAGTTGTGAGTGTTATGCCATTATTCTTACCTGGAGCGACCTAGTAAGTCAATAATGGGGAATATCTTAAAAGTGGGTGGCAATTGGCATGTATGTTCTCGGGCAGGTTTATCCAAATATGAGGTCTGCATTAGTCCATATTCTTGAAACGCGTGGATTTCGAGGGTTGTACGCTGGATTGACACCTACGCTGGTCGAGATAGTACCTTATGCCGGATTACAGTTTGGAACCTACGATACATTTAAACGCTGGACAATGGTCTCTCTCTCTCTCTCTCTCTCTCTCTCTCTCTCTCTCTCTCTCTCTCTCTCTCTCCCTCTCTCTCTCTCTCATGCATGCACACCCTCATTTGACTGTTCAAGAATCCATGTTCGTGGAGGAATAATGTTCTTCTTTTTTTCTTTTTTATTTGATGGCAGGCATGGAATCAGTATAAATATCCATATGCTAGCCAAGACGAAGCCCTCTCGAGCTTCCAGCTTTTTGCATGTGGTTTAGCTGCAGGGACATGTGCTAAAGCTGTATGCCATCCACTCGATGTGGTTAAAAAGCGGTTTCAGGTATTTTTCGGGCTTCGTTCGCATAAATATTAATATGGTAGGGCATGAGCATTCAATTGCTGAAGAGAGTGGGATTTGTACCTAAACAAGTACATTTCTTGTGTGGTCTTTCTTTAACAAGATATGTTCTTTAATTTAGCCAAACCTCAACTGTTGTATTCATAATTATCCTGATCCCTTTTTTTTAATTAATTCAATTGTAGGTGGAAGGATTGCAACGGGACCCACGGTATGGGGCCCGAGTCGAGCACCAAGCTTATAGAAACATGTACGATGGGCTGCGGCAGATTTTGTACGCAGAAGGAGTGGCGGGTCTTTATAAGGGCATTGTGCCATCAATCGTGAAAGCTGCACCAGCTGGTGCTGTAACATTTGTTGCTTATGAATTCACGTCCGACTGGTTGGAGTCGGCTTTGACTTGAAGCTTTTGTATCATTTTTTTTTTTTTTTCGGTCCTTGGTTTCCCATTTGTTCGACCGATCGTTATTTTTCAGTTGCAAAAAGAAATTAATTTCAGCTCGACTCGAAATGGCCACACCTCAAGAGGCTGTCAGATTTGTGTTTTTTGTTCCATACTATAGGGTTTTATTCATAGGCATACTTCAGACAGGCAAAAGGACAAATAATTGTATTAATTTTCATTGTTTTTAGTATTTTTGGTTCAGTAACTTTCAGAGAAAACGAGCAAAACAAGATGAATAAGAAGAAAATACAGAAAAGAAAATGCACAGAATGTTATTGTTAAGCAAAATTACAGAACCTGAAGCAATATAGTATAGCGATTTATTTTAATTTTTTTTATCTCCATTAAACTAATTCCCCTATCTATATTAATATTTTGAAAGTAAAGCCCGCGGGCTCCCCTGAAGCCCGTGCCACCATCCATGCATAACATAAAATCAATCAAGTCAAACTCATCATCCCCATCACCACAGACACACACTCAAAAGCTCACTTACCACAAAAGTCACCAATCTTTTTCACCTTCTTTCCTATAGATACAACAAATCAGACAGTAAAACCTCAACAGCCCGAACCCGAATCCTAGATTGGCCCGGGCAGAACTTGAGGTTCCTTATTAGTTTTCACCTTCATCAACCATGAATTGACGGGCCGGATGAACGGGCCCAACTGCCTGATGGTTTTCCTTTAAACCAGAGGCTCTTGCTCTCCGTTTCCGGGGGTCGCCCATCAGATATCCACCCTCCACGGCCTCGATCACCCTTTTTGTAAGGGCCCGAGTCCTCTTGCTCAGCCTCAAAGGATTTGAGTTCAACGGTTGCTCCACCTGGACCTCATTGGCATGAACCAGCACAGCACCTTTTCCTGGCCCATTTGGCGGGGCCCCATCTTGCCTCACGCTCGGCCCGCCATTCTGAATTTCCTGGCCCACATTGGCTGGATCCGGCAAGATGCCGTTTTCAGGCCCATCTGGATAAGTATTCTCCGTCGGTACTGATGCGTAGCTGGGAACATCTCGAGCCCTGTATTGTGTTACTTCCAACTCAGCATTCTCCGTCTCCTGGGCTTCCTGTGGTAAATTAAGATCAAACTTAGGCCGAGCTTTCCCAGCATCCACAGAAGAGCTGGCAGCCGGAGAAGATGAACCCCCTACATCTACAGTTTTACCAACACTCAAGGAAGAAATCTTCCTTTCTACCCGACCACAGCTAGTTGCCAATGTCCGGCACCGTTTCACAATTGGGCCCTCGTGGCCCGAACCAGCCTGTTTTGCCTTTTGAGATCTCGGCATCTTTTTACTCCGATTTTCTACCCGCGAGACCTTCTTGCCTTTCTTGTCAGGTTTAGCCTCAGCTGTGTCCATGTCATTACTTCTGCCTACTTCATCCTCGTTAACATCTCGTTCGACAAATGAATCCAAAATTTCGGGAGGAAAAGGTCTCAATTCCCTAATGTTGCCATCCAAGAGGCTCGTATCAATCACCATGAATTTCATGATGCCATTTTCTCTTTTTGGAGTCCTCGGCTGTAAATAACAGTGCTTTTCGGACTTCTTCTCCGACGTTTTTTCGGCAGGAGCTTCTATTTTGACATCTTCATTCTTGTTGCTAATGCTAGGGCCTGCTCTTTCCGAGTCGAGCACGATTAAATCCGGCTGCTTGGAGACTAGAGCCAGTATATCCAAGGGAGAGTCGAAATAGTGCTCCCCCTTCACCAGCTTCCTTCGGGAAAACTTTTTTATTCCGGGCCCAAGGTAAACCAAATAGGGCCGGGTAAAGCCCGTTTGTCTCCTAGGCACCACTGTCTGCCAGCCTCGTCCGAGCAATCGGGGCCAAACAGCCTCCCAGAATATGTCGTTCGATTTTGCCTTGCTTAGTCGATAATCTCCTGTCAGGATCTTGATGACCTCGTTTGTTGTAAGTGAGGAGAATGCTCGACCGGCTGGAAATGAAGGTCTGGAAGGTTCTAGAGGTACTTCGGTCAGGTCCAGTTTTCCTTTGCCTATGCCGATAGCATCCACCAGAATCTTAGCTCCGACCGTGATCTTAAGATAGAACACGTATTCCTCCAGTGAAATTTTTTCCTCCTCAAATGTTTTAGACATCTAAAACGGAACACAATAAATAAGGAAGCAATCAAAATTTAGCAAAATTATGTACAAAATTGAGAGAAGCTTGTAAACAATAGGTTGTCAAGAGAAGATATAGACTCATACCAGCTTTGAGATAAATTTAACAAAAGTTTACGAGTTACCCACTCAATAACAAGTCATCATTTTTCTTTCCCACAGTCCAGCCAATTAAAGAAAGAGACTTTCTTTTCCATTAGATTTTTCACCATTTTTTTCAGCCAATAGATAGCACAAAAGCAATGAGTTCCCAAAGGCTAGCTTTGTGTGCACCAAAGTGTAAACTTGACACTTCCTTTTACATCAATATTCAGAAAATAGAATGACAAAATAACGACTACCCATTACCTCCAATACAGCATTTCGAGATTCTTCTGGAATGCCGGGAAGGATTCTATTAAGTAGTTCCTGCTGTCTCATCCCAGAAAATATCCTCTCGCCGTAAATCCCCTTCTTGCCCTTCGCCTTTCGGCAATCTGACCATCTTTGGTACTCATGTGAACCGTAAAATTTCCCATAGTAGAAAGAAAGTACATCACCCATCTCTTTTGTCTCAACAAAGCGTCTAACATTAACGAAATTTTTCTCGAAAATGTATAATCCCAAAAGGAAGCTTTCCTTCTCCAATGCATTCCAACACGCTTCGGCTAATCCAGGGACCAAAAGATAACCTTGGCCACCACACTTTCTTATTTTCTCTGCAGTTGGTAAATCGTTCAGTTCCTCTGGAGAGTCTGCCTTAATAACTTTATTGTGGATATTTGGACCAGATTTTGAGCGGCCTTGCGGTCCCGACTCGTGAGATTTGAAAGTACTGATCCACATCACAATTATGGGAAGCCCGATGAATTTTTTTTGGTAGGAAATAGGCTCGTTTTCTGATTTTGTGCATTTTGTTGAGTGTGATTGAACGAGTGATGGAACTATGGCTTGATATTCGTCTCCAGTCCGGGGTGAAATCTCAGGTTCACCAAATGCAACGGCTGCTTTATGGATATCTGATGGAATCTCTGCCTCTCCAAAGTCATCACGGTCAGGTAGAAGAGATTTAGAGCAATCCCCATTTTCACCAAAATGAATAGAAGCCATCTGCAAGAGAAGTAGACACACTTTTCTTTTGGTTAGAAGCCGAGATAAAAATCGCAAACACAAACTGATACAAGCATAAGAACCAAATGTTTAAAATGAGATTACACATGAAACTAGCTTCTATACATATATAAAAAAAGGACTGTTTTTCACCAAGGTCCTTCTGGTATACATGATAACTATTGAATATAAAGCACGTGAAGTTTAAACACTTGTGAAAACCCAAAAGAAGGATTCATTAATAAAAAGAGACAAAAAAAAAGTTCAAGAATGTTTGTTGTACTTCCAATCCTTTCCATCTACGACATTTTTAAACGAGAAACAACACCAGATATTTGACGAGTAAACTTGTATAGTCTTAAATCTACAGTGTACTTATAATCACTGGATAAACCAATTCTCATTTCCATCTCATCAAATTATAAAGAAAAGCTGAAAATCTGGATGATGATAAAATCAAGTCCATATGAAATTAACTAAAGACGATTTATGTGGTTCTGTTTGTATTATGACTAACTACTGCAAGCAAATTCGAAAGTATGAGAAAAAGTGAAGGATTTAGACTAATGTAGAGTAAACTCAAACAATTACAAGCCTCTAAAATCAATGTACATTACATATATCCACATCACATCATCCCATGGGTTACCCGGCTCCGAAGTCGAAGATTACAAAACGAAAATGTAGGAACACGAAGTTGGGAACACATCAAACCAAAGCAATCAAGAAATTTCACTTATAACCCTCAACACAAAAAATGCAACCAGCATAAAAAAAAAATTAACATCGAACCACCGAGCAGTATCGGTATTATACAACAGATCCACATTTCTACAACTTGAAACACATTTCGACAAAAAAAGATGGAATCTTTATCGCAACAAACACATATCACCGCCAAAATCAAGTGCATTAATCGCAAACCAGAAACCCATCTCTATCTCCAATTCACAATCGAAAGAACATCAACAGCTTCCAATAAAGCAAATTACGTTTTTATGGGCAAGTTCTAACAAAACCCGAAAACGAAAATATATACAATAGCAAAAAATTCACGCAAAAATAATAAACAAAAATCACCAACCCCAACCCCAATGAAAATTCCAATGTGATCCCACCAAATTAAACTCCTTTCACAGTCTACAACTAGTGTATTCCCCGTAAACAGAACATTTTCTCACAACTAAACAATACGCAGACCCAAACGAACATAACAAAGCCATAAACAAGCATACTTATGCATGTATATAGACGGAGAACAACTCGAAGGGCACGTGTGGAGTGAAGCTGGGCAAATGGGTTTAGATGTGGAGCAATAAAACCGTGAAATACAACACAGATATGCCGAAAGCAGTACATAAATACAACATACACAGCCAATAAATAAAGAAACAGTTTATACAGCCATGACTGTGCATAAGAGAGCTCGTATGTATGTATACACGAACAAGGGTAAGAGAGAGGACCTGGGTTTTCTTTTCTCCTGTTAGAGCAGAGTTTTCATGTGCTGAATTGAATCGAAGAGAGAGAGAGAGAGAGAGAGAGAGAGAGAAAAGACTATTTTTTTTTTCTTTTTCTTGTATTGAGAAAAATTGGTTTCTTTGGTATTTGGCCCTTTTATATTGATTTTTTTATGTGTAAAAAAAAAAGTTAAGTTCTCGACCAATAAAATACAGAAAAAAAAGAGTGGAATAAAATAAAATGCACGTATTTTTTAAATATGTCTTCTGCACAATTTAATTGTAAAACGTATTTAATGAATACGTTTTTTTTGTAAAAAAGATTGTAAAAAGTATTTATAAAATACGTTTTACAATGAAATTGTAAAAAAAAACGTATTTTGTAAGTACGTGGTTTTTATGTTGCCTTTTTTTTTGTCCATTTTTTTTTTAAATATATAAATTACTCTTTATTATATTGATGAGTTAGGAGAGAAAATAAAAGAAAAAGGGAAAAGAAAAGCATTTTAAAGTAGGGAGAGATAAGGAGAAGCATACTCACTTTAGGAAGAGTTGATGTCACGCGCTATGCACTGTTGCTGCCACTCAACACGCGTGTGCAAAGTTTGCGTTTCTACTCACGTGGAGGAGGTTGGTTTGTTTACTCATATATTGCTGAAATAATATTTCATCCCAAACAAAATTTCTGGTGA